GTCATGCTTTACACGTGGTGGATTATTCTTATGCCCTTTACAAATGTTACCGAGAAAATGGAAAATGGCACACCACGTTGGTTTCTGATGTAACTATTTTGTCCAAGTTGTACAGTATCACATCAGCAAAGATTTGAGAATTCCATTATAATGGTGCCCTCTGCTGGATACTAGGAAACTCAGAGACCGATTTGGTTTATCCTGAAGTTTTGCTTCAGTTTCACATAATGAAACGGGTCCAAGAAATAGGCATATTCTGTTAAAAAAGAAAAAAAAGAGAGAAATTATAGATTTTATAACAAACTGGCTAAATATTGTATTTTCTATATTGTCTATTATAACTATTATGGAAGAGCAAAATTATTCTGAAATGTGATAGGCACTCATATTGCTGACATGCATGAACCAATACAACTTTTTAAGAAAGTGAAGTGTAAAATATAAGAGTAATTTACAAAGTACTTGGGCGGATGCTGCTGATTAGGACTCCTGCATCCCATATCAGAGTGCCTGGGATAGAATCCCACCTCCCCTGCCTCCCGTCCAGCTTCTTGTTAATGTGGCTGGGAGGCAGCAGATATGGCACAAGTACTTGGATTCCTGCCTTCCAAATGAGAGACCAAGATTGAGTTCCTGGCCCCTGGCTTTGGTCTGGCACACCCCAGATGTTGCAAGAATTTGGAGAGTAAACCAGTAAATGGACAATAATCTGTCTATCCTGCTATTTCTGTCATTCTGCCTTTCAAATACATAAATAAATCTTTTTTTAACTTTTTAAAAATTTATTTGACAGGCAGAGTTAGACAGTAAGAGAGAGAGAGAGACTAAGAGAAAGGTCTTCCTTCCATTGGTTCACCCCCAAAATGGCTGCCACGGCCAGCACTGCACCGATCCAAAGCCAGGAGCCAGGTGCTTCCTCCTGGTCTCCCATGGGGTGCAGGGCCCAAGCACCTGGGCCATCCTCCACTGCCTTCCCGGGCCACAGCAGAGAGCTGGACTGGAAGAGGAGCAGCCAGGACTAGAACCTGGCACCCATATGGGATGCTGGCGCCACAGGTGGAGGATTAACCAAGTGAACCACAGCACCGGCCCCATCAAATACATAAATAAATTTTTTAAAAATAAATAGGCATGGCCTTTAGTCTAGTCCATATTCTGCAAAATTATATGTTACAATAATATTTAGAAACTAAAAATCCATTCCCAATATTGCTCATCTGATTCTGCCCATAAATATCTAGGATAAGACTAAGAGACTGTGAAGCAGCCAAACCAGACAGAGCTTAGAACATATTTTGGAGGACTGTTTCCACAACTTGGAAATTACATAGGCCACACTGTTCAGACCCAGTGGTCCTTATTCAGGGTGTGTGTCAGAATGCCTGAAGACTGCAAGTGTGAATTCTGGGTCCTGTTTAAGAGATCTAATCAGACGGGGGAGTGGCCTGTCTCTAGAGTTAGACTCCTTTTCATACAGCATTTAGCTGGGCTTTCCTTTTGTGCCCAATCTGATAATCTCTTGTAATTCGTGTGTGTAAATCATTTTCATGTCGCATAAATGTTGATATGGTTGGATTAAATTGTCACCTTAGCAGTACTTTTCTGTTTGTTTATGTGTTCTTTCCTAAATTTTCCTATCTTTTGGATTATTTTTTATGATTTCACTTTATCTTCATTATTGGGATATTGTTCATAACTCTTTTTAAAAATCCCTAGTTATGGGGCTGGCACTGTGGCACAGTGGGTTAACGCCCTGGCCTGAAGTGCTGGCATCCCATATGGGCACTGGTTCAAGACCTAGCTGCTCTACTTCTGATCTAGCTCTCTGCTATGGCCTGGAAAAGCAGTAGAAGATGACACAAGTCCTTGGGCCCCTGCCCCTGTGTGGGAGAAGCTCCTGGTTCCTGGCTTCAGATCTGCCCAGCTTCAGCCATGCGGCCAACTGGGGAGTGAACCAGCAGGTGAAAGACTTTCTCTCTCTCTCTCTCTCTCTCTCTCTCTCTCTCTCCCTGCCTCTCCTCTCTCTGTGTAACTGACTTTCAAATAAATACATAAATCTTTTTAAAAATCCCTAGTTATTGTTCAACTATTGTTCTTCATACAATTTAATACCTAGTACAAAAAGTGTAAGAACCTTACAACAGCATACTTTAAATTCCTACCTACTATTTTCTCTACTATTTTTGCCATATATTTTATTCTTTACACATGCTCTAAACCCAGTTAACCATTCTTAATTTTGTGTTGGACAGTGATTGTGAAAAGAAAAAATTTAAGTTCAGGGATTTTTTTTTAGCTCTTCACTTCTTTAATGTAGACCAAATTTTTTTTTTAAGATTTACTTATTTGAAAGTCAGAGTTACAGAGAGAAAAAAGAGAGACAGAGATGGGAGAGAGATCTTCCATCTGCTCATTCACACTCCAAATGGCCACAACAGCCAGGGCTGTGCCAGGAGTCTCCCACGTGAGTGGCAGGGGCCCAAACACCTGGGCCATCTTCTGCTGCTCTTGCCAGGCCATTAGCAGGGAGCTGGATCGGAAGTGCGGCAGCTGGAACAGGAACCAGTGCCCACAGGGAATGCCGGCGTCACAAGAGCAGCTTTACCTGTTGTGCCACCATGGTGGCTCCTAGATGGAACTTTTGTCTCATATCATCGACATTCTGCATGAAGGAATCCCTGTAAAACTGCTTGTAGCACAGGTATACTAATAATGAATTCGCTCAATTGTTTCAGAAACATCTTTTTTCAATACTTTAAGATTTCGTTGAATATAGATATCTGGGTTTTGAGATTTTTCTTTCAGCATTTCCAAGATGCCACACCATTTTTTCTTATTTTTATTTTTATTTTTTTGACAGGCAGAGTGGACAGTGAGAGAGAGAGAGAGAGAGAAAGGTTTTCTTTACCATTGGTGCACCCTCCAATGGCCGCCACGGCTGGCGCGCTACGGCCGGAGCACACGCTGATCCGATGGCAGGAGCCAGGTGCTTCTACTGGTCTCCCATGCGGTGCAGGGCCCAAGCACTTGGGCCATCCTCCACTGCACTCCCTGGCCACAGCAGAGAGCTGGCCTGGAAGAGGGGCAACCGGAACAGAATCCGGCGCCCCGACCGGGACTAGAACCCGGTGTGCCGGCGCCGCAAGGCGGAGGATTAGCCTAGTGGGCCGCGGCGCCGGCCACCACACCATTTTTTTTTTTTAATATTTTTTGTTTTACTTGAAAGTCAGAGTTACACATTGAGAGGAGAGGCAGAGAGAGGGAGAAATTTTCCATTCCTGGTTCACTCCCCAGATGGCCGCAACGGCTGGAGCTGCGACAATCCGAAGCCAGGAGCCAGGAGCTTCTTCTGGGTCTCCCACATGGGTGCAGGGCCTAAGGACTTGAGCCATCTTCTACTGCTTTCCCAGACCATAGCAGAGAGCAGCCAGAACTAGAACCAGCGCCCATATGGGATGCTGGCGCTTCAGGCCAGGGCGTTAACCCTCTGTGCCACAGCGTCGGCCCCAATGCCATGCCATTATCTGGCTTGCACAGCAGAAGTCTGCTACAATTCATTCATTTCTCTGTATATGATGTTCATTTCCTCCAGTTGTCTTCAATGTTTTCACATTGTGTGTTTAGTGTGTATGTTATTGTTTAAACTTAGTTGAGGTTCTCTGAGTTTCTTGCTTTGGATATATGCTTTGGTGTCCTTAATTAATTTTGGAAAATTCTCATTTTCTCTCCAAATATTTTTTCTTCCTGTTCTTCCTACCCTCTCATTCTGAGATTCCAGTAATATGGATGTTGTGCCATTATATATTATCAAGTGCTCTTGGATCCTTTTTTCTGATTTATTTTCCACTCCTTTTTCACTTTTTGATTAAGCTGAGAAATGAATGCCCAGCTTCAAGTTCACTCACTGTTTCCTCAGTTGTGTAAAAATCTACTGGTTTATCCTATACAGATATTTATCATCAGTTACTAATTTTAAAGAAAATTTTCTAACATTTACTTCATTCTTATAGTTCCTATTATTCTGCTGAAATTAGCCATCTGTTCATGTAAGCTTCCATGTAGTTATTTTAAATTCTCAGTCTGTTAGTTCTGACAAGTAAGTTATCTCTGAATCTGCTTCTGATGATTGCTTTCTTTTTTACTAATTGGTCTGTCTTGCTTTTTTGTGCACTTGCAATTTCGAATTCAGTGGTTGATTCCATGTGTAAGAAAGTAGATACTAAAGAAAATGGGATTTATCACTGTAGATCCTTGCCTTTTCATCTGCTAGAATGACAGTAGGGTGTGGGTGTGAGTTGGGTGTGTGTGTTTGTGTGTGTTTGTGTTGGGTGAGTCAGGTCAATCTAGAAAGAGGCAAGCAGGGTTTGGGTACTGTCATCCAAAGGTTAACTTAAGGGGACCACCTGTTACAGATTCTTCTAGTGTTACCTTGTGTAGTATGTTTTGTGAAGTTTGGTTTTCTGAAAAGTTTACCCAATGTCTTCTTCCACTCTCTGCTTTAGGCCTGGCCTGTGCACCTGCCCTTCAGTTAGAGTCTTTGTCCACACATTCATCATGCAGAGTGCTGGTACCTAGTACTTTGTTAACTCAGTGGTGTCATCCAAGAGTGATTTCTCTTGTCCTTGCCAGTCTCAACATTACGGAGGTGGAGGTTGGTATTTCTCCATGATTCTCACCCTCCCAAGCATCAAACGATTTCCAGTTATCTTACCCCAGGACAGTTCCATGTGGCTCTCCCACAGGTGCAGTATTTTAAATTGTTACTTTTCCTCAGGCTCAACAAGTCTTCAACAGTGCCCTGAGGGAGACAAATGCTGGTGCTCTTTCCACATCCTTAGACTTTGTTCACTGGAGAGGGAACTGAGGAGGGCTTCATGCTTGCCTTGAAGGCAGGCTATCTCTGGTCTTAGAATATGCCCACAGTCTTTCTCATGAGCACAGGATAGAGGTCCATGGACAAGAGGCTGCCACGGTGTAAACTCCCTCTAGGGCCTCTGATTCCCAGGAATGTTTTATTCCCACACTAGCCCACATTTGGGCCTTCGCACTTGATCTCACTGTTAAAGTAATTCTACTCCTGTATGTGATAGCCCCATGTTCTACCTGTAAGTGGAAGGTAAGCCAATGCTCTCATACTCCCTCCTCTCAAAAGTGCATGACTTCCCTTAGAATTCAGATCATCATTTGCCTTGCAAACTAGGTGGTTGACTGGTATAGGAAAAGTTATGATTTTGAGGATAATTCACTTTTCCTTTGTAATAAAGTTGGGAAAGATACACGTTAGAGCTTTTCACATCAGCAGAATCTAGAAACCACCCTTGAGATTCTGAAAAACGGAATGGCACTTCAGAGATTCATTCCAAGATTGTCATTAACTGGACCTGAGGTGGTTCAGGCTACAGAAAGGATTCAGAAGAGCTGTTGGGAGACAGCCCAAGGGAGGGGCCTGGAAGGCCACTGTGGATATTGGGGAAGGTATTGAAGAGCTGGCCTATGTCAGCAGAAGCCATGCAACATTGCCACAGGATCACCATGCAGCCTCTCCCTCTTCACCTTCCAGGTGCATTCCCAGCCTATGACACCTCCCTCTCCAAAGGAAGCTCCAAATTGAGGTGAGGGACAATCCACTCTGACCATACTAGATCCTATTGTAAGTTTTCAGGACCCAGAAATATGGGGCAGCTCCAGGATCCCCCTTAGGACACCCAAGAGCCCAGCATACTAGACTCTTCACCCAGAGGCCTAGCCATCCGTGGAAGGGGCACAATCCTAATGATGGTTCCTCTTTTCATCCTTCTGTCTCTGAGGAAGATGGATTAAGTTCCAGATGAAGACGCAGACACTGATTCGATCTCCCAAAGCCCCTTTATTCCACAAATTAAGACCAAAAGTACCTGCGTCCCCTTTCCTGGCTTCTGCCCTCTCCATACCCCCCACCAGACAATTTCCCAGATTTCACAGTAAATGCCTCTTGGGCCTACAGACACCTGCTGCAGAATATGCCTGTCTCGGCTCCTCCAGGGTCCTCATGTCAGCTCCTCCCATTCACAGCTCAGTGTTTTCTGTCTGCTGTGACTTCACTGGCTCTTAGGCGCTGAGCTCAGTCCAGAAGGCCACTTCCTTGTCTTTCAGCTTCTGGGCTTCCTGGGTGGCAGCTCCAATCTGCAGGTATCCTTCCTTGTGGTCGTATGCTGGCCAGTGAGGAAGCCCCTTTCCATTGGGGTTTCTGGGAACAATCAAACAGAAATCCCCTCAAAATGATGTGCAATCCCAATGGACATCTGAGAATAACAGAGGCCCATCCTGGGTTATCTTTCACAAGAGGCTCATACATCTCCAGGAAGGAGAATTTCACCACCCACTGAGACTGCTGTTTTAGCAAACTCTTATTTTTTAGAGTTCTATGGTCATGGTAACTGTACTTCAATCACTCAGGCTTTAGAAGTTATCCCTTCCCAATAGATATGCTCTACCCCAACCAGGCCTCTACTCCACCAGCCTCACCCATTCCGAGCAAAGTTGGCCCAGAATTTCATCATCATCTTGCTCAGTTGGATCTCCTCTTCTGAGACACCCTCTGTGGCAAAGAAGAAAAATCCTTTGTAACTCAAAGTGCGGAGCATGGACATCAGCAGCAGCATTACTTGGGAGCTTGTTAGAAATACAGTCTTGGCTCTTACTCCACCCCTCCTGTGTCATCATCTGCATTTTCATAAGATCCTGGTTAATTTATGTGGACTTTAAGTTTGAGAATGGCTAACCCAGGACTCAGCAATGGGCATGTAGTCTCCACACAACCCAGCTGCCTTTGGTTTCTGCGCCCACCTGCCTGAATCTCCCCACAGAATCACAACAGCACATCCTAGGGTTGCCACTATTGCATCTTCACATCTAAGAGTTACTCTGTCTTTGGTCTTTTATCCATATCTTACATACACTCACATTTTCATAGAATCTGAAAATCAATAAGGTTGCAAGATTGCAAAGGAGTCACCCAACAAGGAGATGCCCGGCAGCACTGGGGTGTCATGAACAGCCATAAGGGGTCACAATCCCCTGTTGCTGCTTAAAGTTAAGGTATGGAAGATATTTCTAAAAGATTTTATTTTATTTTTTAAAAAGATTTATGTATTTGTTTTTAAGAAAACTTTTATTTAATAAATATAAAAATTTGAAAGTACAACTTTTGGATTATGGCAGTTCTCCCCCGCCCCCGCCCATAACCACCATCCCACCCACAAACCATCCCATCTCCTACTCCCTCTCCCATTCCATTCTTCATTAAGATTCATTTCTAAAAGATTTTCTTTAAATAGTTTAACTTAAACTATTAACTTTAAATAGTTTAAACTTAAAAATCTATGAGATAGAGATGTGTGTGTGTGTGTCCACACTGATTAGACCTGATTCAAGGTTATTGGCCAATACTATGCTTATTCTTATCCATATTCTGATATGCTCCTGTGGGTGGGAAATCAAACAGAGGCATTCTCACCAGAGAGCAAGGCCATATAGGAGACCTATCATAAGCCTTACTAATATCTAAGGCCTGGGCTCTGAGAATGATTCTAAGGGCACATGAATACACATCCTCCTTCATGTGAGAAGGGGAAAGCTTGTGGACTTCCCAGTGTGGTCCAACCCTGTTACAATAAATTAGAAAACTGAGAAATAGAGAAGGACGACTTTCTCAGAACCACTATACCAAGATTAGAACCCAGACCTTCAACTCCAAGCTCATAGCCAAAAAAAAAGAGTATTTACCTGTGAAAAGTGGAATCCCAAAGACAGAGTAGAGCTCATCCCCATGATCTCCCATCACCGTCACAGGTTTCATATCTGATGAGAAGCTCGGATGATACTGAAACTCATACATGTAGGTGGGGGCTCTAGCATCTGAGAAGACACAGATCCACACACAGTTCATGTTACCAGATATACACTTGAAAGGTACCTAAGTCTCCATTTCTGCAGGAAAACCCTGGTTAAGCGCATAGTAAAGAACGGAAAGACCAGTGACTTGCTTAAGGCTGCATAGCTGGTTGAAGTGGAAGGAGAATTTGAGCAAGATATATGTTGAATAGAGGAATTAAATTGAAAACATGAGTCAACCCATTTAATATGGTTCTCATTGCAGGGACCCTGAGTTCATATAAACCCCTTTGCCTCCTGATGCAGTCACACAATGGAAAAGACATTTATTTATTTATTTATTTATTTATTTTTACAGGCAAAGTGGACAGTGAGAGAGAGAGACAGAGAGAAAGGTCTTCCTTTGCCGTTGGTTCACCCTCCAATGGCCGCCGTGGTCGGCGCGCTGCGGCCGGCGCACCGCGCTGATCCGATGGCAGGAGCCAGGTGCTTCTCCTGGTCTCCCATGGGGTGCAGGGCCCAAGCACCTGGGCCATCCTCCACTGCACTCCCGGGCCACAGCAGAGAGCTGGCCTGGAAGAGGGGAAACCGGGATAGAATCCGGCACCCCAACCGGGACTAGAACCCGCTGTGCCGGCACCGCTAGGCAGAGGATTAGCCTAGTGAGCCATGGCGCCGGCCTGGAAAAGACCTTTATATCCAGTTCATATCAGTTGTATTTCATTGCTACCAAACTACTGTTCATTCAACTGTCTCATTCACTCCATCCTAGGTTCTTTGGCCTCTTCCACCTTCCACCTGGAATGAGGCAGCAGAAGGCCCTCACTTGATTCCAGCTCCCTGATCTTGGGCTTCCCAGACCCAAGAACCCAGAGAAATATACATATAATTCTATTGTTTATAAATTACCAAGTGTGTAGTCTCCTGTTATAACAGCATAAAACGGACTAAGATACGGTTAAAGATTTATGCAAGTAAGGCTGATCACCATGTTATTCAGAATATCAAAAAATCAGCTTCCAGCATAAATATCCAATAGGGAAGAATTACTAAATTATAATGCACTAATCTATGGAATAATGGATAATTTTGATGGATTTTCATTAATATTAAGGAAATCTCAACAACATAGTGCTATATGAACAAAAACATAATGTAAAATTGATTTTAAGTTATATATGACATGGGAAATCATCACAAGAAATTACAGAAAAATTGTAGCATATACTTCTCTATACAAATAACATCTGGTTTCTTTTTTGTGTGTACCTGTGGGGAGCAATTCGGACTAGACTAAGTTACTGGAATTAAGACTTATTCTATGCATCTGCTCTCCCACAATATGGCGCTGGGAGAGAAGAAAACAGCTTCTGCACAGCTGCCTCCAGTTCAGCCAATAAACTGTGGGACTTGCTCCTGATTGGAGGAGAGCAGCGTACTCGGCGTGTGGGCAGCCGAGTTGGGATTGGCAGAGGAGGATTATAAAGGAGGAGAGAGACGGCATGCACCGGGAACATCTAAGGGGAACATCTGAGGGAACACCTGTGCAGCCCCCGAGAGAGCCGGCCGGCGGTGTGCCGCTCCCCTGCGGAAGTGGGGAATGTGGCCAGGGGGAACTGCCCTTCCACGGAGGTGGAAGGGATAGTAGCCAACCCGGGAAGAACCAGCAGCAAACCCGGGGAGGGCCGAGCAGACGAAAGAACAGCGCAGGGTCCTGTGTCGTTCCTCCACGAAGACGGGGAGCGACATGTACCCAAATCTTAACATTATAAAATGGTAATTTATAAATATTATACTCAAAGATTTTTTTATCAAAGACAATGAAACAAAAAAATGAAAGTTTATAAATTCTCATACTCCTGGAAAAAGACTCTAAACTCAGAATCATGAAATACCAGATGGAAACATAAGTCCATTTATGGTGGGAACAGCAAGAGATGCTGGGGGCACCATAGGTCAGACATGTAGCAGGAAATACAAACAAAATTTATAGAACAGATTTGACCTCAGGCTGCCCTTGGCTAGAGGGTTTTATCCAAACTTCAGAAGTGGGAAGTAATGATTAGAGCCTATAGACTAATGTACTGAGGGGTATTATGGTACATACTGGATCAGCTTTGGTTAGTTTTTTAAATTAACATTTACAAAGTCTTGAATGTAAAAACCTTCCCAGCATAGGTACAGAAAAGAAAGGTGTGCATCAGGGACCTAGTCTATGCCTTGAGAGTAGGTGAATGAGAGCAGATAGAAAAGAAGCATCCTGTGAGGGTCCCCAACTGCCACTCAGATGGAGAACCCTCCTCTGCAGTTAAGCTCATGCATCTGTAAACTCACACCCCACTCATCAGCTTGAGTCAATGTGGAAAGTAGCATGGTTGACGCTGTCCTGGCCCTCAGCTTGCCCACACCTGCACACACCAGGATTAACAAATGCCAGCCACAGACACTGACATTCTCCAGCCCCTTCTTGCCTACACCTGCTGCTGCCTTCTCCTTTTGACCTTATTGGGCTTGGATATTTCTCCTAATCTTGTGCTTGGCTTCCATTCTCCCTCTACCTCCAGTAGTTAACAAGTCAGTTTGCAATTAGCTCTGATCTAGGAAATCTTCCAAGGCCCAACCTCTGATATTTGCCCTCTACCCCCTCACTCCCCATTGTAAGGAGCTCCTGTAGCAGATGCTGGTGGTGCTTCACCAAATTCCTCTATTTCTGGGCACGTTGGGCTAATTTGCACCTCCAGTGATGGTGGCTCTTTGCCTGAGGAGCTTCTCTGGTCTCTAGAGACCACTCTGCTGCCTGTGTGTGCAAAAGAGCAAAGCACTAGGAAACTTCCACCATTTGGAACAGTCTTCACCCAGTTATCAAGGGAAATGGTGGCTGATACCTCAGCCCCCTTGCCATGTGGCTGGGGTGACCATGAGATGTGTCTTCTGTTTGCCTCCCAAACCCCCTAGCTCCGGTTGTCCACCACGGACATTTGCTTGATATTGATCAGTTTCCATTTGTTTCCTGCTGTGTCACTTCCTTGTCTCCCTACTGGTGTTTTCTCAAAGAAACTACTGGCTTTGGGACCCTTTCCCTAGAATCTGCTACTGACGGAAACTAACAGGAAAAAACGCTCCACTCCATGTCATATGGACTCGGCCTTTCAAGCCTCACCTGCACCATTTTCCACATCTGTCTATGCTGGCAGCTAGCCAAGAGGGGCCAATGTCCCTCTCCAATAAGACCTCTAGGACTCACCTCTGTGGTGACGGGCCACAATGACAGAGGGGACACCAAATAACACATCTCCAATCAAGTCCAGGAACAAGTCTTTCTTTTTAACAGGGTCATCTGTTGCTCCTAAATACTTCTCAATGGCCACTGGAGTCAGTTCTTTAGAGATGTTCTGAAATGGACCAAAAGAGTGACCACTCCACCCCACCCCTCTGGTGAGCAGCCAATGGTCAGTCCCTACAGCCCTGTGCACGCAGAGGTGCTGTGGGGGAGGGAGACAAATAGAGGCAGAGCCTCAAAGTCTCACTCCTTCCACTTAATTGACCTGTGATTTGAAGAAGGCTCCCGTCCCTTAGTTGAAAGTCCCATTTTTCCCTAGACTCTTACAACAATGGGGTAGGATTTCCACAAGAGTTCTGTGGCCGTCTTCTGGTCCAGCTTCCCTTCAGAGAGTGGATAGCCCATCATCTGTTAAAAAGATGGTTAAGCAGTGTCATTCACTAGGAATTGACAGGCAGAAACAAACTGAGCAACAAACCAAACCAAGGCACTGTGAAGGTCCTCTGATCTGTTGAACACTGAAGGGCCTGGATCTTTAATGAATTTGGCACAAATAAGTCAACGGATAGCAAATTGGATTAGGAAATAAGTTCAGCAGGATCTGTGCCAATGTTTGCTGTGTGTGTGTGTGTGTGTGTGTGTGAAGCCAAAAACCCTGTCTTTATGGCTTTGTCCCACAGCATAACTGAAGAAATCCTGAAGAGAGAACTACAGAACTCTCAGTACACAATGACTCTGTCTGGGCCTCTACACTCAGAGACTTCACTCAGGGCCGGCTCTGTGGCATAGCAGGTAAAGTCACTTCCTGCCGTGTCGGCTTCCCATATGGGCACTGGTTCAAGTCCCGGCCGCTCCACATCCGATTCAGCTCTCTACTATGGACTGGGAAAGCATTAGAATATGGCCCAAGTCCTTGGGCCCTTGCACCCACGTGGAAGACCTAAAAGAAGCTCCTGGCTCCTGACTTCAGATCTGCCCAGTTCCAGCTGTTGCGGCCAGTTGGGGAATGAACCAGCAGATGCAAGACCTCTCTCTCTCTCTCTCTCTCTCTCTCTCTGCCTCTCCTTCTCTCTGTGTGTAACTCTGACTTTCAAATAAATAAATAAATTTTTTTAAAAAGACTTCACTCAACTCTAATACAGCTCCTAGAAGCTAAAAGCCATGGCCCCAGGATGACCTTAGCCTCCTTTATGATGCCTGCCTGAGGGGCCGACTTTGTGGAATAGCGGTCAAAGCTGCCACCTGCAAAGCCGGCATTCAATATGGTGCCGGTTCAAGTCCTGGCGTCTCCACTTTCGATCCAGCTCCCTGCTGATGTGCCTAGGACAAGCACTGGAGGATGGTGCAAGTGTTTGGATCCCTGTCATCCATGTGGGAGACCCGGAAGAAGCTCCTGGCTTCAGTTTGCCTCTGCCCTCACTGTCACTGTCCCTGTCAGAAGTAAACTAGCAGATGGAAGAACTCCCTCTGTCTCTCATTGTCTCTGTATAACTCTGACTTTCAAATAAATACGTTGTTTTTAAAAGATGTCTGCCTGAAAACTCAATGCTGTCAGGCAAACTTACTGTTTGCTCTTGACTAAACCTGATAACAGACAGAGAGGCCTCTGTATCTGAGGCTGGATATTTTATAAACAAAAGAGATTTCTTTAGCCCACAGTTCTGGCAGCCAAGGGCACAGCACCAGGACCTGCTCTGCTCTGGTGAGGGCTTTGAGCTAATCATATCAGGGCAGTTGATATCATGATGAGAACATGTGAGTGAGGGTGAGATCCCATGGCAAGTCAGGAAACCACAGATATTCAGGGACCAGGTCTGTGTTTCTATCTCCCTCTCTCTCAGGAACAAACCAGCCTCCCATAGAAGTGCATGAATCCCTTCCAACGGCAACACAGCCTGCGATATAACCACCTTGCCCTTCACCCTGCATCTTAAATGTTTCCCAGCTTCTCAGCATCACCGCACTGAGGAGGTCCTCACTTCCAACACATGAATGTTTGGGCACATGATCAGAATGATCCACACCACGGCAGCTCCTGCATGCTCTCTTAGAGCAGTTCCTTTAGAAAGTTTCCAGTTGTACTTCCTTTCTCTGTGCTTTGAGTCAGAACTGTTTCCTCCAGGACCTGACAGCCCAATTATTAAAATGCCAACACTCTTAATCTCCTAAGACATGACCTCTTGGTGGTTGTGCAAAGAAAAAGGCCTAACGTCACCTGAGACCTTAATTCAGTTTACCCCATTGCACCCTGCCATAAATGTCAAAGGTCTCTTTTTGCCCAGGATAGCGAGGATCAACAAGCCTAAGCAGCCTAGACACAGGGACAAACCCTGCCTCACATCCCCTGCGTCTTCCCCTTAGCACAGCCGAGCCTTGCCTTGCTCTAGGATTTGAGACCAGTTTGCCCTGGATTATTTTCGCCAGTGCAGTGATTTAGTGAATAAAAACTGTCTTAATGTTTTAATGACTATCTGACTTTTAAAAAGTCTCTGTTACAGGAAAAAACCCTCCTTGGGGCTGGCACCATGGCACACTAGGTTCATTCTCCACCTGCAGTGCCGGCATCCCATATGGGCACCAGTTCTAGTCCCAGTTGCTCCTCTTCCAGTCCAGCTCTCTGCTGTGGCCCAGGATAGCAGTGAAGGATGGCCCAAGTGCTTGGGCCCCTGCACAGCATGGGAGACCAGAAAGAAACACCTGGCTCCTGGCTTTGGATCAGTGCAGCTCTAGCCGTTGCGGCCATTTGGAGAGTGAACCAACGGAAGAAAGACCTTTCTCACTCTCTCTCTCTCTCTCTCTCTCACTGTGTAATTCTACCCATCAAATAAATAAATAAAAATCTTAAAAAAAAAAACCTCCTTGCCTTCTAGAAGTCAACTTTGACTCAGGAAGAAGCACAGTTCTCTGAGTCTTTCCAACGAGGTGGGAAGAGCAAGTGTGAGGTTTCTGGGCACCCCTGCATACAGCCCAGGTGAGAAGCCGTCGGGCCCCAAGCCTCACTCTCCCTCTCCAGCTCCTTCCCTCTCCTGCACATCTTCAGTTTGCCCTTCCCAGAGTGATTATCTTTGCAGGTCTTCCCAGCCTTCTCTCATTTCAGGATTAGTCAACTGGGGAACAATCAAACAATGTTTGGGCAGAGGGGTTCCTAGGATTAGGCACCCCAGGGGACAGTTGAGCCAACCCAGAGATTTCCACAGAAACACCCACTTGTCAGAAGGGGGCAGTTTCCCAGTGTCCCGGGACTCAAGGGCAGCTTAGAGAAGGAGGGCTCCTATAAGCAGAGGGGGGAGGGGTGGAGAGTGGGAGGTCCGCACGTTCTCAGTTCTCACCGTTGGAAGGAGCCAGCCGAACTCTTGCTTGTTGATTCCCACAATGTAGGGGACCCTGTTGAATCTCTTGTCTGCCAGAATCTCTTCAGGCGCCTTTGGCAACAGCACCCCATCAACCACAGTGAGTGGAAAGGGGTAGCTCTGAGAAAGAGAGAGCAACACAATGTCTGTCATTCCTGTTTCCCAGGTAACACCCACCTCCCCCTCTCTGCCTCTGTGTGAGTGAGGCCAGCACCATGGACCTGAAGCTCCAGGTCCTACCAAAGAGGATGGAGTCTCTGTGCCCACTAGAGAATGCTGACTAGAGGCAATTAGCGGTAAGGTGATAGATGGGGGCAACCTTCATTCAAATATGGACACATATATATTTATATATACCTACATGTATGTGTATATAAACATATAGTTACTTATATATTTATTTATATGCTATACATATATTTTAATGTATTTTATTTATAAAGCATAGTTACACAGAGAGAGAAATACAAATAGAGATATCTTCCATTCACTGTTTACTCCCCAAATGGCCTGGACCAAAACCAGGAGCTAGGAACTCCATCTGGGTCTCCCACGTGGATAGAAGCTGTTCAAGTACTTGTGCAATCTTCCACTGCTTTCCCAGGTACATTAGCAGGAAGGTTGATCAGAAGTGGCGCATCCAGTACTTAAACTGGGGCTCATTTGGGATGATGGAATTGCAGGCAGTGGCTTAACCCATTGTGCCATAACGCCAACCCATATGTACATATTTCACTCTAAAGTGTGAATGTATACAAGGAGTCTTCACAAAGTTCATGGAAAGTATATATTTGAAAGTCTTGGCATGAGTTTTAAAATATTTCATAACAAAATAGACTTATATTTCATTTTATTTTCTAAAAGGTTTTTCAATGTTTTATTTTTGTATAATTTAAGAGCAGACAAGTAGAGATAAAGAAGCAGACAGACTCAGAAAAAGAGAAAGAGAGATCTTCTATTCAATAGTTCACTACTCAAAGGCTTACAATATCCAGGGCTGGGCCAGGCCAAAATCAGGTCAATCCAGGTCTTCTAGTTGGTGGCGGGGATCCAAGTACTTGAACCACCACCTGCTGCCTACAGGGTGCACATTACCAAAATGCCAGAAACAGAAGCAGAACTAGGACTTGAAACTAGAAACTGTGATAGGGAATGCAAGGGTCCCAAGTAATTTCTTGGCCACTGTGCCAAACACTGGGCTAACCAAGAACTAATTCAATAGAGGCAAGGGAACTTGTCTTGAAACAAGAAAGAGCATCATTTAAGAGGGGGTAACAGGCTTTAACTTTGTATTTAGGGGTAAGTTTGACAGCACATGAGGCATGAGAGTGGGAGGGCAAGTGGAGGAGAAGATGGTAGAGGCAGAGGCAGGGAGGGCTGAGTGGGGCCGTGACTTCAGTAATGAGAACTGCAGTTTTGGCCATCGTCCACTCAGTGGTTACAGTGGCCGCCCGGAGCGGGTCATGGCATGGGTTCGCTTGGGTTGGGGAACTCAGGGCATCCCTTCTCCTCTCTCTCTCACACACCGCATGTCCTGTCCCTCAGCAAACCCCAGCAGCTATTCCTTCAAAAGTGCGCAGACTCCAACACTGATCTCCACCCAATGCCATGGCTTAGTGTAAATGGCAGCACCCGTGCCTGGACTAGTGCGGTGCAGGGGCCCTCCAGCTGCCCCCTCTCCATGGTCTGTGTCCACAGAGCAGGCAAAGAAACTTTGGAAATTCTTTTCTTTTTTAAAGAAGATTTATTTATTTATTTAGAAGGCAGAGTAATAGAAAAAAGAGGGAGAGACAGAGAGTGATTTTCTTTCACTCCCCAGATGGCCCACAACATATGTGGCTGGGCCATGAACTCCAGTCAGGTCTCCCATATGGCACAGGCCCAAGTACTTGGCATTGTCTGCCTCCTTCCCAGGTCCTTTTGCAGGAACCTGGATCAGAAGCAGAGTGGTCTGAACTAAAAACAGGCACTCCAATACCATAAGATGTCATGGCAAGCACCAGTTTAACTTGCTACCCCATAATGCCCACCCCATGGTAATTCTAAGATCATATCGCTATTGTGCACAAAACCCTCTGAAGACATCCCATCTGATACCAAATCATAATCAAAATTCCTTTAATGACCACCTCTCACCTCCTACCTCCTATTACCTGTTCAGCTTCCAGTCTGTTGTCTCTGCTCACTCCCTCTACTGTAAGCACAGTGGCTTCCAGCCTCAGGGCCTTAGCACCTGCTGTTCCTGCTGTCTAGAATACTCTTCCTCTAGTTTTCCTGACTTCCTTCTTTCCCCTCAATCTAGACTCAAATGTAACCTCTTAATTAAATTTAAACCACTGACCCTACTGATTAAATTCAAACCACTGGAAAAACTCTATCTCATTTCTCACTTTTTCTCCTTTACTTTGACAATCATCAAACACAGTACATATTTTATATTTTTCTCTCATACGCAACCCTTGGAAATGGAAGGCTCCAAGAAGGCATAGATTCATACCTATTTCAGTGTTATTTGCCCAGCTCCTAAATCAGATCCTGGCACACAGCAAGTGCTTAGTTCACCTCTGTTGAGTGATTGAATGAATCTCACTTAGTCCTTACAAAAACTTTTAAGGGAAGTGCTGTGATCTCCAGGAGATATAAGAGAGGACAGGATGGTACGATGTAAAGTGTTGTACAGTCAATGTCACCGGAGCCTGGAAAGTCACTGACACGAGGGAGGGATGAAGCAGGAGGCAAGGAGGATGCTGTGGTAGCTCCCAGGGTGCTAGGAGGAGCAACACGATCTTAGGATTCCCAAAGTCTCTGCCTGCTCCATGGAAACAGACTGTACTGAGTATTACCCGGGAGGCCCCTGCACTGCACTAAACCAGGTACGGATGCTGGCGGCTTAGAGCAGGCCATAGCCATGGGGCCGTGAGCAGTAGCTGGAATCGGAGCATTTCTGAAGGCTGGCTGCCTGCACAGCTCATCAACCCTGCGCCTCCTACCCACCCTCCTCAATGAAGGCTCCTGAAGAAACCTCTTATCCAGCATTTCTGCCTCTTCCCAGTGGAAGGTTCCACTTTGGCATCCAACACAGAGCTATGTTAGGGTTCCACGTGTGTGTTGGGTGGGAAGGTTCGCTCAGCCCAGGGGACACAGGGTTGTTGCTAGGCTGGGAGTAAAGGAAACTGGTTCCAGCACGATCACTGGTTTTCCTGGCTGTGTTATGCAGGCAAGTCACCACCCCTCTCTGTGATATACACACAAGGCATGTTGACTCTACTTTTTTCTTTTTCTTTTTTTTTTTTTTTGTTTGACAGGCAGAGTGGATAGTGAGAGAGAGAGAGAGAAAGAGAGAAAGGTTCTCCTTTACCGTTAGTTCACCCTCCAATGGCCACTGCGGCCGGCGCACTGCAGCAGGCGCACCACGCTGATCCAAAGGCAGGAGCCAGGTACTTATCCTGGTCTCCCATGGGGTGCAGGGCCCAAGCACTTGGGCCATCCTCCACTGCACTCCCGGGCCACAGCAGAGAGCTGGCCTGGAAGAGGGGCAACCGGGACAGAATCCGGCGCCCCAACTGAGACTGGAACCTGGTGTGCCAACGCCACAGGCTGAGGATTAGCCTATTGAGCCATGGTGCCGGCCAAGGCATGTTGACTCTACTAAGGAGAATCTTTCCACTGTGGATAATCAGAGCTTATGGATAACAAGACACAAAACTTGTAATGAAGAAACCAAGATCCTTACCTGTGTGGGGTCTCCAACCAAATCAAGAGTGAAAAATTTCTGTGAAGACAAAGGCAGAGGATGCAGTGAGAAGGTTTCCTGGGCAAAGCTGATCCCCAGGGGCTGCACACCTGAGTGTGGGGAGCAACTCGGACTAGACTAAGTTACTGGAATTAAGACTTATTCTATGCATCTGCTCTCCCACAATATGGCGCTGGGAGAGGAGTAAACTTTTACACAGCTGCCTCCAGTTCGACCAGTAACCTGCAGGAGCTGATACTGCTCCTGATTGGAGGAGAGCAGCGTACTCGGCGTGTGGGTAGCAGAGTTGGGATTGGTGGAAGAGGACTATAAAGGAGGAGAGAGACAACATGCACCAGGAACATCTAAGGGGAACACCTGGATAACATCTGAGCAGCCCCCGAGAGAGCCGGCCGGTGGTGTGCCACTCCCCCGCGGAAGTGGGAAAAGTGGCAGGGGGCCCGCCCCTCCACGGAGGTGGAGGGACGGCAGCCAACCCGGGAAGAACCAGCAGCAAACCCGGGAAGGGCTGAGCAGACAAAAGAACAGCGCAGGGTCCTGTGTCGTTCCTCCGCAAAGAGGGGGAGCGACACTGAGGAGTCAGGCGCTCCCTCCCGGTGCTTCCCCGTCTGCTTGAGAGGAAGTGGGCAGGACACAGGCTCCTCCAGGCATGAGCATGGGCACCAAAAAGAACAGGCTAGGCCCTGGGGCCAGTGCTGGGGCCACTGGAGCCCCGGAGAGGCTGTCTCCTGGGCAGACCCACCCCACCTTCACCTCTCTCCCTGGTTCCCTTTGGCAACCATCTCTGTTTTCCCCAGAGGAGTTTTCCCCTCCCAATTTATCTTTAGCTCCAGGAATTCAGGCATCTGCATATGCCTGAAGAGCTCCTGACCCTGAAAGCACACATTTACCTTAGGGATGGTAACATAATTTTGTCAGTCCAACAGAGCTGACCCCCAACAGTTACTAGAATTATTGGGAAAAGGATTTCTACCCAGACAGGATATATCTACAGTGCTATTATGTTTGATCTCCCCAGGGGACAAATATATCTGCAATGGAAGGCAACACACAGGAGTACAAAGATGAGAGATAGAGACTTAATATTCTACGAGAGTTAACAATATCCTGTAAGCATCTGGATCCAGCCGTGCCTGAAACATCCATTCCTTGACATGTATTACCTATAGATTCTAACACATCCCTTTTCTATTCAAGTCATTTTGAGTTGATTTTTCTCATATTGCATTAGAAAGTCCTGACATATACAGCTTCCCTGAAGCACATCTCACCCCAAACTTCTCTTGGGTGTGTGTTCAACAAGACTACAGTGATGGCAATGTTACACTACAGCCAGCAATCTGATCTGTATGCAGGAAGTCACAAATAAGGCCCCTGTTTTATGAATTGTAGCCCCTCATGCGTGTGTGCGTGTGTGTGTGTGTGAATCAAAAATCATGGAAGTATTTCAATAAGATCTCAGAAAACCTCAGAAGGTTGTCTTAGAGTGTCTGATTCTCCAGATTTTCCCAAAGTGACCAAGATTTCCCTCACAAGCTGGGTCCTCTTGCTTCATTTGGAGAATTGCTGAAATATTTGCTTCTTTCAATGTATTATAAAGAAGCTGTGTTTTAATTATTCAGCATTTTGGTCACCTTATTTGAGTCTAGTGAACTGTGGCTAAAGCCCGAGCCCACACTGGACACGACCCATGGACATAGCCCAGTGATAGAGCCTGTCCTGAGGGTAAAGGAGTATCTGCAGGTATCCACCTAAATACAGAGTTTAGGCTCAACCTGAGCCCACCTAACAGAATAGCTCCATTGGCCCTGGATGCTCTGGGTGTTTGTCCTGCTCAGAATCCATCAGTCGGTAAATGTTGCCTCCCTAAGAGCAGCCTGGCTGGCCATAATGAATGTGTCCTCTATATATTCCCAAGACATTTAACCTAGTAAGTCTATGACTGTGTTTCTTTGTGCACAGTTCTTTGCTTACAGGGCATATGTTCAATTCATTACTGTACTAGAGCCCCAGGAACTCCCTAACCTCATTATGCTTTTGATGAATGGGTGGAGAGATGGATGAATGGTGGAGTTGTTCAATAGGTGGAATATAAATGTATCACATGGATATGTGGAAGATAGCAATTAGATAATTGATGGGTGGATCATTACTTTTAGAAGAATGGATGATGGAATACAGATATATGGTGGCTGGCTGATGGTTAGACTGAAAATAGATGAATGAATCCTGGGAGAATTGATATTAGATTGATGGAGGGATTTCTATGGATAATCAGAAGATAACTATTGGCTGCATGGAAGAATGGGTGGATGGATGGATAGGTGAAAAAGGAATAAACATGCTTATGGATGGTACATTACTGTTTTTAGATACTATAATCAAATACCTGAAGGAGGCCAACTTTGTAAAGATCTTGCATTTTGAGACTGAAAGTTAAAATAGTACAGCACTGACTCTGAGGGCTACACAGCAAATAGTGGGAATGTGTTTGTAGCAAGGGATCATATCACCTAAAGAGAAGTCAGAGAGCAATTTATGGGTCAGACTCACTCTTGTAACAACTTGCTCTCGCAAGAGCTCAAGTGTCGCTCAAGTGATATTATCCTGATGGCTGCTGCTCCACTGGCCTAAAAAGACATTTTACCAGGCCCTGCCCCTTTGAGATTTCTCTCTTTCTCTCTCTCTCTCTCTCTCTCTCTCTCTCTCTCTTTTGACAGGCAGAGTTAGAGAGAGAGACAGAGAGAAAGGTCTTCCTTCCTTTGGTTCACCCCCCAGATGGCTGCTACCACTGGTGCGCTGCGCCAATCCAAAGCCAGAAGCCAGGTACTTCCTCCCGGTCTCCCATGCGGGTGCAGGGCCCGAGAACTTGGGCCATCCTCCACTGCCTTCCCGGGCCACAGCAGAGAGCTGGACTGGAAGAGGAACAACGGGACAGAATCCGGCGCCTCAGCTGGGACTAGAACCCGGGGTGCCGGTGCTACAGGCGGAGGATTAGCCTAGTGAGCCACAGCGCTGGCCTCACACTGTCTCTTAATACCACCACCTTGGGGACCCAACTTCCAACATGTACACCCTTGGGGAAACACTCAAATCATATCCAAACCATAAATATGGCTATTCTGTATTCACACTTGAAGCTGTATCAAAACATCTAGAAACCTAGTCACTATTGGGTTATAATTTAGATATTTTCTTAATCATTCAAGATAAATTATGACAACTTTCTGAAAATCTATGTACCTAACAACTCCATCACAAAATGAAGAATGGCCGTTGCTTCTGGAATATGGAACTAGTAATTTATTTAAAATATACCCGTAAACAAGAATGGCAAAATGCTAAGTTTTTATAAAGGTAAGGGATTATTGTGCAATTTTTCTTCATATTATTTTTGTTTTTTTGACATTTAAAATATCTCACAAGTTTGGTTTGTGATTATTATATAATTACAATTTTATCATGTTATTTTTAGATGTTTTAGACACTTGATCAATTTCACAATAAAAAAAGGGAAAAAAATGAAATTCTTAATTCAGATCCAAAAGCTGACACTGCCCCTAGGAGTTGAGAAAATTCCTCAGGTAGTTTTAAAGGGCAAGAGAACAACTGAAATAATGAAATGTGGGGCCAAGTACACAGGGTGGGGGCCACTTGCATGGGAAGACGTACCATTTTCTGTGTTACCTCCAAGAGTTCTTTCTCTGTCTTCTGGCGCAGGCAGTGGATCATGACAGCCGAGGTGGTGGTTTCACAACCAGCGGTGATAGCAATTTGCTGCAGAGATCATAGAGAACAGCAGAGTTCAAGAGCAATGTCCCCTCCCTCCATGAGAATACAAAGAGGTGTTCTGTCCCAGGCCCAACCTCTGAGGACAGCAGAAATACCCTAGACCAGCAGGTATGGGTTCTGAGTTCCACATGGTGTTGCCTTTTATACATTTGAATTGAGACCTGAATCAATTACACAATCTCTACAACTCAATTATGCCTAAGGGCACGAAGAGCATGGATTCCTGAATTCCAGTCTTGTTTCAAATCCTGTCTCCTTCACTTACTGGCTATTTGGCGTCAGGCATGCCACTTCATCTCTTGTGTCTCAATTTCTCCACCATATGTGGTGGGGATAGTGACTGTCCCTCCCTTTTATGACAGATTAGTACACAAGAAATACCTAAGAGGGCACTACGTATCTCACACTCTAAAACGTGCAGAATTGTAGCAGGTCTAGATAGCATAACTGACACAAAGCACTTGAGGAAGTACGGGATGTGATGAAAGTGTGATCCCTAAGGGAAGCATCAAAGTGGACATCTCAGTGCATACTTGGTATTTTTCAGTTGAGTGACGTGTTTGTGGCACAGCTAAGAGTTTCCACCTGCAAATTCATGCCTTCAAACTTAAAGCAATAATAGCATCTCCCTAGTGTAGGGGGTCAGCAAAGGCTTTATCAATGGCCAATAGTACATATTTGGGGCTTTATGGACCCTATGGTCTCTATTGCATCTACTCCACTCTGCTGTTGTAATGAAAAGCAAAAAATGAACAGCATGTAAATGAATGAGTGTTGCTGTTATAATAAAATCTTGTTTAGGACACTGAAATTAGAATTGAGTATAAGTATGCAAGTCATGAAATATTATCCTTATCTGATTTATTCAGTAATTTGTAAATGAAAACTAAAAACATCCTTAACTCAAAGGTCATATAAATAGGTACAAATTTAGTCATGGGCCATAGTTCTAAGGCAAGTCACTTAGGACTGTAATTATCCGAGTCCAGAATCTTTTTCTCTCTAAAAAATATATAAAAGGGCTGGTATTGTGTTGCAGTTGATTAAACCAACACTTGCAGTGCTGGAATCCTATTCAGATTGTTAGTTGAAGTCCCAGCTGCTCTCCTTCCAATCCAGTTAATGCACTTTGAAAAACAGTAGAAGATGACCCAAGGATTTGGGCCCTACCACACATGTAGGAGAGCAGGATGGAGTTGTGGGCACCTGGTTTCAGCTTGGCCCAGCCTCTTGTGGCATGAACCAGCAAATGAAGATCTCTCTCTCTCTCTCTCTCTCTCTCTCTCTCTCTCAAATAACAACAATGTGCAAAATAGAAACCCTGCTAAGGGAGAGGCTCTCTTCACCTGGTCTTAGATCCTTGAGATCAATTTTCTCAGTACACCTCCTGCCCTGACTTTTCTTAGAGGCCATCCTTGATCGAACACAGGGGTATCTAAGCAAAATTGGAACCCTGAGTTTCCATCCTAAGTGATACAGAATTGGAGTGGAGATCTGATCACATGAAAGCCTCATTCTCTATGCAGAGAACAAAGGCTGTCTACTCTGTGGAGCCAACGAGAATTTCTTAAATCCAGGGGTAGATGGGGTGGTCGCATGGACTGGCAGTAAAGTGTAGAAAGAGGAGAAAATGCAGAAGGATAGAGGGGGACTCAAGGAAGGTGGGGCCACAGTGAATGCACCACCTGATAGTCTCTTACAGGATCTGGTACAGAATCAGTGCTTGAAGAGAGTGATAACATACAAGAAGGCTAAGAAACTATCAGATCCCTTTCACTTTGCAAAGTCTTGTTCCTTTTTGTTCGTGAAGCTGAGTTTCATGCCTGTGGCCTCTATTTCCTTTAAAAACAAAAATCCCCTTTGCTTGACTCAATCTTGGTCAAATTCTTATACCTGGACTAAGCTCTTTTGGATGTTTTTATTAGATCAGGCACTACTCCTTTAATGCTTTTGTCACTTAATGTATAGATGACATTTTAGAATTTGCATGATTATGTAATTAGTCTATCTTCTCTATTAGAATGAAAACTTTAAGTAAGGAGGCAGGTGCATGGTTATATCAAAATAATTGTTGAAACTCTGCCATCAGCAAAATGGCTGACCACAAAGGATGAAAACAAAACTAAATAAAAACATTTAATATTAGCTGAAGTATCTGGGGCAGAGTGCAGGAGTATACTAGGAATGTGGCAGCCCCTGGCAGTCCCCACTAGCATCATGGACCCCAAAGCATTTACTGCCGGGGAAGCCTGTAGGTCCCATGGGCTCCAAATCCATTTGGGGAGCTTCTGGGTTATCAAATCTGAGGCACTACCCCAGAGAAAAATCTCAGTCCACACTGTGCCCTCATCCACCCACCGCCTTACATACAGCAGCATCTCCAGATGCTGTCTACCCACAGTCCTCTGAAGCAGCTGAGCCACCAGCTGCAGCCACTCAGTGAATCCCACCCTGCAAAGTAGTAGGACAGCCCCCTCACCCTGTGAAGTGTCTGAGCAGCCCACCCAAACCAGCTCAGCCCACAGAGATCTCAGGGAGCAGAATAATGGCCCTACCCTCTAAAGCTTAGCCTTGGGAAGTAGCCAGGCAACCCTATCCACCTATTCTCAACCCCTGGGAAAAGCTGGGAAAAACACTCTGAACAGAACAACCCCAAGTGCCCCCAAAGGCAGATGTGCAACATTCAGATATTGTTGGGTATCCTATCCAGGCCTACTGGCTAGCTCACCCCTTTCCCACCAAGAGGGCTGCCTCCTAGCTGGAAGAGCAATCCCTAACCCCTTGCATCTTAGACCATGGAGACAGCTGCAGGCATGGCCAAGACTGATTATAACTGAAGATGCTATACAGATACCATATTCATACACCTACTCAACAAATTCCCAGGAGATCATTTACTGCAAGAGCCACCCTATAAAGTTGGTGTAGCATCTTATCACCCAAATGCACAAATATCAATGTATGGATACAAGAAGCAAAAGAAAGCAAGTTAACATGATGTCTCCTAGGGAATATAATAATAATAATGTAGCAATGTACCCTCAACAAAAAGGAAATCAGTAAATTTTATAAGAAAGAAACTCAAATGAGTGACATTTAAAGCAATAAGATGTAAGAGAATACAGATGAAAAATTCAATAAAATCACAAAAATTATTATCTGAGAAATTCAGCAGAGAGGGGAGGAGATGAAACAAACAGAAGTCTTGAGTTAAAGAATTCAATAAATCAGAAAGCATTAAGCAAGTGAATATTTTTATTATACATGTTCCAGAAGTAGACAAGAAGAGAAAAGCCTATTCAATTAAATAATACCTGAAAACTTTCCAGATCTTGAGAAAGAGATGGAAAACCATAGTCAGGAAGTTCAAAAGACCCTTAATAGACTAGAATGAAAAAGGTCTTATCTAAGGCATACTGTACTTAAAGTGTCAAAAGTACAAGACAAAGGGAGAATTCTAAAAGCAGCATGTCACAGATAAGCAATTCCCCTTTACCTAACAGTAGGTTTCTCAGCAGAAACCTTACAGGGCAAGAGAGAATGGGATGATTGCCTAAAATGTTCATGAAAAAATGAGATTTAAAAAAGATAAGTTTATTTTGGTACAAAACTATTTGTTGCGATTCTTGCATAGTCATTTCATAATATCCATTTTCCAAAAACATTTTAAAGATCACTCATAAATTATTTAGTCAACTGAATTTTTTAAGTATGTAAAGCAAGTGTATAAATATAATATAAAAAGAGTCTGGTGGCCAGTGCTGTGGCGTAGCGGGTAAAACCAACACTTGCAGTGCTGGCATCCCATATGGGCGCTGGTTTGAGTCCTAGCTGCTCCACTTCCATACAGTTCTCTGCTATGGCCCGGGAAAGCAGTGGAAGATGGCACAAGTCCTTTGGCCCCTGCACCCATGAGGAGAAGCTCCTGGCTCCTGGCTTTGGATTTATACAACTCCAGCCGTTGCAGCCAATTGGGGAGTAAACCAGTGGATGGAAGACCTCTCTCTCTCTCTCTCTCTCTCTCTCTCTCTCTGCCTCTCCTCTCTGTGTGTAATTCTGACTTTCAAGGAAATAAATAAATCTTTAAAAAAAAAAAAAGTCCCATCACTCCAGAAAATATTCTTCACGTTACCCCCTTGTCATCAAACCCTTGCTATGCCCCAACACTGAACAGCCACCGATCTGTTCTTTCTTTTTTTTTTTTTTTTTTTTTTTTTTTTTTTTTTTGACAGGCAGAGTGGACAGTGAGAGAGAGAGACAGAGAGAAAGGTCTTCCTTTGCCGTTGGTTCACCCTCCAATGGCCGCCGCGGCTGGCGCGCTGTGGCCGGCGCACCGTGCCTATCCGAAGGCAGGAGCCAGGTGCTTATCCTGGTCTCCCACGGGGTGCAGGGCCCAAGCACTTGGGCCATCCTCCACTGCACTCCCTGGCCACAGCAGAGAGCTGGCCTGGAAGAGGGGCAACTGGGACAGAATCCGGCACCCCAACCGGGACTAGAACCTGCTGTGCCGGCGCCACAAGGCGGAGGATTAGCCTACTGAGCCGTGGCGCCGGCCAATCTGTTCTTCATCCTTACAGTTGAACCTATTCTATACTGTTTTTATGCTTTGATGTGTAGTATTATATAAACAGAACCATACAGCATGCAGCCAAAGCCTGGGTGTAGTAAAATAGAGCATGTAAATAAAGCTACTCTATGTTCCTTTGTAATTAATAAATTTTAGGGGTAAAATTTTTAAAAAAGAGTATTTCTTGAATGAATGAATGAGTGAATGGCCCAGGACCTGATCCCTATCACAAGACTCTCAGGGAAGAAGCAGTCCAGGCCTACATCCTGTAGCACATCCACCATGTCTCAGACCCTGAACATGATCACAGTCTCTGCTCACGTCCACTCAGCACCCTGCCCAGCACACTCACAGGAGAGTGGCCAGTGGACACTGCACTGCACTGGTAGCTCAGCGTCATGTGCTTGAGTCCTAGGCCTGCCCTGCTCCCTTGATGACCTTGGAAAATTGCTGTTGAACTCTGCTGTAGTGGTTGGTTGTAGAATCATTAGGCTGGGGATGGTGTCTCCTTACCCTTCCTGCTCAGTTATTCTCATGTCAGTGATGCTTCAAGGATCTCAGATGGATTCCCCCAGCCAGGAAGAACCCTGAGGATTCCAGAGAGCAGAGCAAAGGGTACAGGAGTTTTCCAGGGTGAGACCTACCTCTGCCAAGGGCTTGACATCCTTCTTGAAGAGGCAAGGAGTGAGGGCCACACCACTCTCAGAAATGGCTCGATGGAAGAGGTTCTTGGCCAGAGGAGATAAAACCTGGGAGGGGAGTGGAGAGGAGGAGAGGTCATGTTCATGGGGAGAGGGTCACTGACATGTTTCTTTTCAAGGCTTCCTCCACTCACTGCTCTGCCCTGGCCAATTTCCCTGGAGACACTGAGAATCAGCAGATACAATGCTCCTTGCCTGGCCTGGCCTATGTCCTGGTTTCCCCTGGACCTAGCTTCCCAAAAAGAACCTGAGCATGATGAAGTCAGAACAGAGAGCAAGGGACATACTATGACAATCAAAACTACCCAGAACACAGATTGGCAACTCCTAGCCACAAATTCTGATTCCCTACTCCCATTACGGAGAATTTATTCTTTTTTTTTTTTTTTTTTACAGGCAGAGTGGACAGTGAGAGAGAGAGACAGAGAGAAAGGTCCTCCCTCACCGCTGGTTCACCCTCCAATGGCTGCAGTGGCCAGCGCACCGCGCCGATCCGATGGCAGGAGCCAGGCACCCATCCTGGTCTCCCATGGGGTGCAGGGCCCAAGCACTTGGGCCATCCTCCACTGCACTCCCGGGGCCACAGCAGAGAGCTGGCCTGGAAGAGGGGCAACCGGGACAGAATCCGGTGCCCTGACCGGGACTAGAACCCGGTGTGCCGGCGCCGCAAGGCAGAGGATTAGCCTATTGAGCCTCAGCGCCGGCCCGAGAATTTATTCTAAGAATAATAATCATGGAGACACAGAGAGATATCTATGAAAGCTCATGCTGTTATTCATGGTAAAAATTAGAAAAACAAACCCCAAGGTTCAAATTCTATGAGATCAGGTAAATAGTTTTTTTTCATATTGGCCACAAAATGCATGTGTACTTTAATGTTTGGGGGAAAAAAATGCATGATAGAACTGCAGAAAAAAATTGTGCAAAAAAGATAGATGATAGAAATAGATGTATAAAGTTATAGATGATATAACAGAAGATAGATACAGATGCTAGACATAGATTACAGATAGATAGCTAAAATGATAGAGATAGATAGATAGACAGAAATTTGAAAGTTGCACAGAAATGTGTAAAAACATCTACATAGCTATTCTTAAGACTGGCATTATTGGTGACATTTCACTTCACTTGGCTTATCTAAGTTCTTCCTATTTTCTACCTTAACAAATATACAAACATGTTCCTTGAGTAGTCAACTCTGAAATAAACATATGTTTGAAAACTACAGTAAAAGGGCAGATCCTCTGCTCAAGTCTGAGGTAACTTTTATCTTCTCTTGGTGTCTCCCCAGCCCCGTTCTCCACACCGCAACATGTCCTGCTCCCAGGTTGTGTCTCCGGCCCACATCCCCTGTCCCATTCCTCCCTGCCCAGCTGCCATCCCTGCTGCCTTTCCCCACCTCCTCCGGCCACCTCATTCCCACAGATAGTTGCCCTCTGTCTGCGGCATGGAAGCCATCAGACCTCCTTAGAGGAAGCCCCTTGTCTGCTCCTGTTGTTCATGTCTTATAGACAAGCCTTCAGATGAGACAATGACATCTCATCCAACTCTGCTTCTCATCTCTACTTATTCATACCTGCCTTCCGAGAGGTGAGTCTTAATGTTATTAGAAAGGAAAGGGAGAAGTGAACCACGGGAGAGGAAGAACGACCCTACTACGGGCTGCAGGAGGTTCTGATATCACCCGAACGTGACACTCCCTGACCCTCCTGAGTGACAAGGACAGTTTGGTCTTTGCTCTCTACCATCTGATGCTGTGCAGAGAACAGGGTCAGACCTGAACCCAGGAAGCAAAGGTGCCCAAGGCTGGATTGATGGGTCTCCAACAGATCCCATCAGTAGCCATCATGCTTGAGGATGGGACCTGGTGCCAGCAACACTTACAAGAACGGAGACACTTTGACCTCCTGCTGACTCTCCAAAGATGGTCACAGAGTGTGGGTTCCCTCCAAAGTTGGCAATGTTGTCCTGGACCCAACGCAGTGCAGCCACCTGGTCCAAGTGACCCCAGTTCCCTCGGCCATGTTCATCTCCTGTGCTGTGAGTGAGAAAACAGGTGGGAGTGGGGAGCACAGGTGTCATGGCAGAGCTCCCAGGACCACAGTAGCCTGGGGACTCCAGTCAGCCTTCCAGAATAAGGCTACTTTCTACATGCCTAACACAGGGTCTTCCCCTGCCTCCCATTTCCACAGCATGGTTTTGTGTAGAGCTCTGCATTCACGCATCTGACAGCTATGAAGTGAGTGTAGCAGTGCTCTAAAACCTAGACAGCGTCTGAGAAAACACAGGCAAAACAGGACACTGAGCTCACGCTGCACAGCACAGATGAATCTAGAATATAATGACATATTGCTTTGGGGACGCATAAAACCAGACACAGGAGGTCACATGACTGGGGAGGCATCTCTGGGGCAGTGGTGTTTGAGTAGGGAGCTGAATACGATGAGCACAAGGATCATGCAGAAGGACCTGCAAGCAGGAGAGGCAACAAGAGCAGAGGGCCTGGGCCCAGTGAATGGAAGTGTGTGAGTAGCAGATACAGCTGGAGAGCGCTGTGGGCCTTGGTGAGGGATTTAATGTTGTTGCAAATATGAAGAATCCCACTGCAGGGTTTTGTACAGAGACATAACACAACTCAGCCTTTTAACAAACGATCTTATATTCTTATAGTACAGCACATTAAGGACAGAGATCCTACATGGGGAGTAAGTGCACAGTCATTCCTGTTGTTGATTTAACAATTGACACTCTTATTTATGACGTCAGTAATCACCCGAGGCACTTGTCATGAGCTGCCAAGGCTATGGAAGCCTCTTGAGTTCACAAACTCTGACCTTATTTAGACAAGGCCATAATCAAAGTGGCAGTTCTCTCCTCTCTTTAGAGAAAGGTACCTCCTTCTTTGATGGCCCGTTCTTTCCACTGGGATCTCACTCACAGAGATCTTTCATTTAGGTCATTTTTTGCCACAGTGTCTTGGCTTTCCATGCCTGAGAAACTCTCATGGGCTTTTTGGCCAGATCCAAATTCCTTACGGGCTGATTCTGAGGTCAGAGTGCTGTTTAGGGTATTTGTCATTCTATAAGTCTGCTGTGTATCCCGCTTCCCATGTTGGGTCGTTCTCTCCTATTTAATTCTATCAATTATTGTTAGCAGACACTGGTCTTATTTATGTTATCCCTCTGACACTTAATTCTATCTTTATAATCAAGTATGAACTTAAACTGATCACTTTAACCAGTAAGATAGCATTGGTACATGCTAACTTAATATATTTGAAAAGTGAAGCCAAGATCGTTTGCAGGCCAACTGGATGTGGCTGGGAGAAGAGTCGAAGCTGCTCACTGGTCTTTATCCTGAGCAAGTAAAGGATGGAGGTGCCACAAGTATGCAGGAGGCCCTGAGAAAAGGAAGGCAAGTTTGTTGGGGAAGCAGCAATGGGAGGCAGTGATTCAGTGTGTTTTTGTGATGAGAGAGACAGCTATAGACATCAGTAGAGGAAGGAGGAGGTCATTGATGACAAGTGTCTGGGTTTCAAAAGGGAGCTCTGGATGCACCACTGCGACCACTCATGGGACTACTAGAGAGGGAGAAGGAGACACCAAGAGGCCTCATGTGCATTGGGAAAGAGGAAGAGAGATCAGTGAAGGGATTGGGAAATAACAGCCCAGGAGGTGGAGGTGGCCAAGGGAACAGAAGAGGAAACATCTCGAAGAGATATGAGTGGTCATCTGTGTCTGTGCCAATAAGGCGTAATGTGGGCTGAAAGCTGAAGGAGGCCGTTGGTGAAATGGACGCTAGGAGTCAGGTGACATGGACAATTCTGCCTGGGGTGGGCATAGGAGAGACAGGGAAGAAGGTGGTGGGCCAGGATGTCATAGCAGTTTTGCCCCAGTGGGAAGCAGAGGCACCAGCCATGCATGAAAGGGCTGTGAAGCTTCAGTAAAGATGATAGATCCGGGTCATGACTGGGCTGGGGTGGCTAAGTGACAGGCAGACCTGAGCCTCTCCTGCTGCTCTGTGGTCTTCCCCTTGGTGAACATCTCCTCTGCCCACAACTAACTCGTCACCTGGCAGGGGCAGATGTTCTGGGCCAGGGGCACTCAGAAAAGGTTCCCAGCAATTGTGCTCTGCAGATAACCAGTCATGTGCTCCTGGAGACCTACTGTAGAAGGTTCTAACCTTGACTCCTGCATGTGCCAGCTTCCAAACGACACAGAGTCCTCTAGGGAGTATTATTCATGAGGTCAGATACTCCTCCCATTGCTTCATGCAATTGCCTCCAAGAGCCTGCCCTCTGCTTCATCTCCCATGAGAAGACGTGTGAATGTTTAACTGCTGTGCTGTGTGCTGACATCACAGGAGAATGCAGTGTGCAAGGGCACCACAAGTGGAATGGAGGTGAGTTTTACTTAAGAGGTAACATGTGGGCTGGGCCTTGCAAAATGAACAGGAAATTTGTGGGATACAGTAAACATTCCAGGCAGAGGAAGAAACTCAAGGACACATGTTTCCAGGGAATGTGAAGGTAGAAAGGGCCCAATTAGGAAGGCATTTGCTTTCCTCATTAAGGAACATAGAAATGTCCTATTGAGGGCACACATGACCAATGCTGGCTCCGAGTTTTCTCTGTGGGGCCAATGCGCAGTGAGTAAAGTCCAATAACTTACCTGAAGAATCCCCAGATGCCCAAGCGGTACTGAATGGTCACCACCACCACGTTTTCATAGGCAGAGATGGCCAGGCCATCACAGTTGGACGCCGCACCCGTCAACAGACCACCTCCGTGGATCCACACCATCACCTGCACAGGGAGGAGGAAAACATACTCTTTGTAAGAAGCAGAGCAGGGAATGACTTGAGAGGTTGTCTGATTTGGTCACCTACCTCTTGGGCAGGAAGGCTGTTCCCCATTGTCTACTAGTGCCCAACAAAGTTGCAAAAAACAGTCTTTCTCCTCCTCTAGCTCTCCCAGGTTGGGCCAAGGCAAACATGTGACTCACTGCATCCTGATTACCATTTCCTTTCTCCCCAACCCCAGGGCCATCTCCACCCAAGGCTCTTCAAACTGAGAACATCATCATGGGAACAGCAAAAGCCTAGGATTTCTGTTCCCACCAACACTCCCATCATCTTCATGCGGACACTGTTCATCTAGCTCAACATACGCATGAGAGAGTCCTTTTATTATCGGTCTTAAGAAGTTCATGGACAATGCATATTATGTAAAAATTATGCATGGGGAGCCTGCGCTGGGGCATAGCCGGTAAAGCTGCTGCCTGCAGTGCTGGCATCCCATATGGGTGCTGGTTCGAGTCCCTGCTGCTCCACTTCTGATCCAGCTCTCTGCTATGGCCTGGGAAAGCAGTGGAAGATGGCCCAAGTCCTTGGGTCCCTGCACCCATGTGGGAGATCTGGAAGAAGCTCCTGGCTTCTGGCTTCGGATTGGTGCAGCTCCAGCCATTGCAGCCAACTGGAGAGAGAACCAACGAATGGAAGATTTCTCCCTGCCTCTGCCTCTTTCTCTCTTTGTAACTCTGACTTTCAAATAAGTAAATAAATCTTTAAAAAATTATGCATGGATTTTTATTTTTTACATGCAAATAAACATCTGTTAAACTCAATTTCCGTGAACTTTTTGAAGTACTATTTTTCCAGCTTCATCTCAGCAAACTCTTCTATTTTAAAATAAACTTGTGTGTAGAAGCACACATCCCCAGTGAAGTCCTTCCTAATATGTCTCTCCTCTGCCTCCTTAGCCTTCCAAATCCTGTGTACATTCCAGTGCCAGCCTGAAAGCCACTTCCTACACAAAGTCTTCAATCATTGTTATCTGAGAACCTACTATGTATGAGTCAGGGATTGTGACAAAAACTTAAGACAAGAATGGATATTATATCCATGATTCATGGAGTGTGCATTTGACATGCATACACAGCAGGAAAGCAAGATTTGGTTAAAATGACAGCATCAAAGGAACATTGTTAATAAAATCAAAAAGAACTCCTAACGTGAACTATGTATCAAGTACTGTTGTAATCAATTCAAAATAAGCTATCCATGAAATAAGTAGTAACACTGGACAGACAGGAAAACTGAGGCACTTCGTCTGCCCAAAGTCTCAGATCTAACAGGAGGTTGAAGATGGACTTGGACCAGGGTAGTCCAGCTCACTACAGCCCATGGCCACAGTGCAGTCAGTTGGCTGTTAGGTCAGGAGTAAGATCCTCCCTCCTGGTTCTAGCTAACCTCTCACAAATGCTTGATTTATGGACTTAGCCTGGTGCTGAGACACCGCTTGTTAGTCACCATTGAATACTCAGGTGTAATTATTCCAGTTTGAGGAAACAGGCTGAAAGAAGTTAAGAAATGGCCCAAATCTCTAGCTTGTCAAAGGGAGAACCAGAATGAAATCAGACTCTGCAGTTCTCAAGTCTTGTGGCCCTAAGTAGAAATTTTCCTGCCAGGAGGTATTGTGAGCACCTGTTTCTCCTTTACCTCTAATCCGTGCCTCCAAGGCAGGAATTGATTATGGGCTGAGACTACAGCCAGTCATCAATTATATGGTGAAGAAGTTACCATGTCTCTGTGCAGCCCAGTTGGCAAGGTCCATGAAGGCAAAAGTTGCATCATAATTGTTTTATGTTCCTCCTTTCCACTAATCTCAAATCTCTCTCTCTCTCTCTCTCTCTCTCTCTCTCTGTCTTCTCTTTCCTTTCTCTCCAGGTGTGTGTGTGGGGGGGGGGATACTGAATATACAATAGATGCATAAATGAATGAATGAGTGAATGAAATTTTGTCCACCGCTCCATAGGTCACCATGGGTCATCTTCTAGTGTAGTATAGGCCTTTCTCACCCCAGACACTAGGCCAGAAATGTCTCTGAGAGACTGACTGCATGCTGACGTCCCTCCCTCTTTGACCCCAGGGACTGCCTCCTTTTCCCACAGACCTTGGTTGCATCCTCTCGAATTTGTAACTGGTAGCCTGCCTCGTATCTGACCCTTCACTTACTTGGGAAATGCTGACTCACTAAGTCATCAGCCTGTGCCAAAGACAATTAGAGAGGCAAATTAGCTGCAATTAAATGCTGAATGATTTACAAAACGCAAAAGAAAGAGCTTTTGAAATTGCCCCATGCTCGGTCTCCCACACCTCTGTCAAGGGACAGCAGAAGTTGTCACAGACGGATCTTTCTGTGCAGCCTGGCAGGTGAAGAAGGTCATACACAGACGTGATTCTCTAGACCAGGTCAGGGTGCCTATTTAAAGATCAGATGTCCAGAGCTCTTGTACTGCCAACCATATGGTGGGAACTCTCTTACCCCATCTGGGCCTCAGTTTCTCTATTTGTAGAGTAAAAGTTGTGTTGTTGACTTTTCTCTGAGAGTCAACTCTAACTTAATTGGAAATTATGTCTTTGCTGCTGTGAGCATCTGATTCTTAAACTAGCAATGAAGAATAATCATTCTTGTTCCTTTAGTAGCATGTAAGAATTAGGAAAAATTAAGATGTGCATTAAAGATGTACTGCAAACCCCTCAGAGGTCCTGTGTCATCAGGGGAAAACTGAGACATGAAAAACTGGTGCTTCCTGTGTTCAGAGGATGCTCAGGGACACCTGAAACAGACACAGCCCATGATGCCACCAACCCACACTGCCTTTATCCTCCTCCAGTCTGCACCAGACGATCCCAGATGCTGGGACTTGCATGCATAGGGGTTCCCATGCTTACCGGCAGCCTGCTTTTCTTCATCAAGTTGGGAGTGTAAACATTTAGGTAAAGGCAGTCTTCAGAAATTTTGAGAGATACATTCTCCCGGACATTGAGCCCTGGAATCAGTGAAGAATCCTCAGTTGTGGTTTGAGAGCACCTGGGGAGGACAGTATCACTGAGTAGAACCATATGTGACCAAAGTGTTTCCTGGGGCAGAACCTTGGACTGGGAGGCTCAAAGCTGTAAATGGATTTACTGTCACAAGACTCAAGACACTGGAACAGGTGGGGATTACCTGAGGAATCTAGATGGGTGCCCAGAACACAATAAAGTCTCCCAGTACCATGCAGGGTGAGAATGCCTCAGCACCATTCTTCTTCCAAGAGCTGTTGGATGCCCTGACCCAGGAGAGGAGGCTGCCTATACACTGCCCTGCCTGGAACATGGCGTTTCCTACACTCCCCGGATCTGGCCTCACCTTTACATGGAATGCAGGGTGACCATGTTTTAGACCATGGAAAGCCTCCGTAAACCAGGAGAAGTCCCCAATGTGGCAGACATTTAGGGACTGCATCAGGTCAGCAATGACGTCTTTGTGGGACAACCTCAGGAGAACTGCACAGAAGTCTTGCCTTAGCCACTGATTTTCTGGGTGACCTTGAGTGAGTTCCTTTCACGTGTGAGAGTGAATGTGCCATGTCTATATGAGGGGAGAGACTTCTCTAAGGGTATGAAGGTGTGGATGCTAAGATTCCATCATCACTTCATCTCAGACCAGGACTGTAATTTGCCTGATGACAGATCTCAGAGATCAACACAGATTACAGATTACAGATTACACTTGGTGACAGTGATTGTGGACTCTCAGTGTGTCAGGTCCTGTTTTTAGAGAATATCCCCAAGGTCACATAGACAGGAAGGTCAATATTATGTGGTACTTGCATATCCAAGTACATTATAAGCACCATGTCCTAATCTCTGGGTACCCAGAAGGCAGGCATCTCTGCCCTCAGAACACAGCTGGGATAACTGAGGCCCCCAAAAACAAGGAGGACACAGCTGTCAGGGGCCAGAATGACAGCAGCCAAGATGACATCTGTTTTCCATCCTGGGAACTGTTTCTCTAGGTCACCAAGATCATTCAACCCAGCCATACCACTCCTTGGAATTTACCCAAAGGAAATGAAATTGGCAAACAAAAAAGCTGTCTGCACATTAATATTTATTGCAGCTCAATTCACAATAGCTAAGACCTGGAACCAACCCAAATGCCCATCAACAGTAGACAGGATAAAGAAATTATGGGACATGTACTCTATAGAATACTATACAGCAATCAAAAACAATGAAACCCGGTCATTTGCAACAAGATGGAGGAATCTGGAAAACATCATGCTGAGTGAATTAAGCCAGTCCCAAAGGGACAAATATATGTTCTCCCTGATTGGCAACAACTAACTAAGCACCAAAGGGGAAACTTGTTGAAGTGAAATGGACACTATGAGAAACAGTGACTTGTTCAGCTCTTGTCCTGACTGTTGATGTACAATGTAATACTTTATCCATTTTAGTATATTTTTTTTGTTCTAGTACTATTGGTTGAACTCTGTAATTAACACACAATTATTCTTAGGTGTTTAAATTTTAACTGAAAAGTGATCCCTGTTAGGAATTTGGAAAGCATTATGCTGAGTGAAATAAGCCAGTCCCAAAGGGACAAATATATGTTCTCCCTGATCACTGACAACTAACTGAGCACCAAAAAGGAAACCTGTTAAAGTGAAATGAACACTATGAGAAATGGTGACTTGATCAGCCCTTGCCCTGACTGTTGATGAACAACATAATACATTATTCCTCTTAGTATTTTTTTGTTTGTTCTACTTAATACTTTTGGTTGAATACTGTAATCAATACACAGTTATTCTTAAGTGTTGAAACTTAACTGAAAAGTGATCGCTGTTAACTATAAGAGTGGGAATAAGAGAGGGAAGAGATGTGCAATTCGGGACATGCTCAAGCTGACTTGACCCAAACGGGGCATAATATTCTTTAAAAATGAAATCCAGATAGCAAAAAATATAAACAGGTTTCAACTTCACTAGTATACAAATAAAATTATAATTATACTTAATATTTGTATTATTTATTATTATTATGCTATGCCTATTTAATAGCCAAAATTCATTTTTAAAAACCTTGTGGGGGCTGGCGCCATGGCACAGTAGGTTAATCCTTCGCCTGTGGTGCCAGCATCCCAAATGGGCGCAGTTTCTAGTCCTGGCTGCCCCTCTTCCAGTCCAGCTCTCTGCTATACCCTGGGAAAGCAGTAGAAGATGGCCCAAGTCCTTGGGCCCCTGCACCCACGTGGGAGACTAGGAAGAAGCACCTGGCTCCTGGCTTCAGATCAGCACAACTCCTGCTGTTGCAGACATTTGGGGAGTGAACCAATGGAAGGAAGACATTTCTCTCTGTCTCTCCCTTTCACTGTCTGTAACGCTAACTTTCAAATAAAATAAATAAAATCTTAAAAAAAGAATCTTGCGTTCTGTGGAGACTTTTTACATATTGATGGTAAAAATAGGGCTTTTAACTAAGTTGTCCATGGGAACATGGGCACGCCCACCATTGCTACACTCAGAATTAGGTTCTTGACACACCTGGGAATATGAACCTAACAAGTAAAAACTCAAATATGCCCACACCCACACATACCCTCACACACCCACTCCCTCAACTATGCCTGGGTTTGAAGATAGGCGATTAGTTAAGATCATATCTTTTCATCTCTCTTATCTGTTCAACTTTTGTCCAAAGACTGTGTGCAAGCATATTACCTAATTCATGACTGAATTTGTGTAATGTTTATTATCTCTCCCCCACTGCTGAGAGGCAAGCTCTATGAAAGTAATATTCTTTGTTCTGTTCACCAATGGATTCCAAGAATCCAGAACATGCCTAGCACATAGTAGGTGCTCAATAAATGTGCATTGAATAAAGGAGTCTAGAGTGCTGTATGAATTTAGGACTGTTTTTAAGTTCTACAATATTCTTGGAGACCCTAGAACAAAGTGTAAGCCAACCAGAGGGTTGCCTTGACTCCTTCCTGCAGCATCTCCCCTGAAAGATGCCAGTGCCAGCCCCGTGCACAGCTTACATGGGAGGGTAGGAGGTGGTGTTCTTCACATAGCTCCATGGCTCTGCAGGCTGTGGCGGCGCAAACCTCAGGGATCCAAGAGGGGGTTTGGCGAAAGGGATTCCCAGGAAGACGGCCACGGGCTGTGCAACTCCTTCTAAGCTGACGAACTTCCCCAGGACTTTGCCATGTTTGGTGTCTATCACAGGTGGTGCGGATGGGTGCCCTAGGGACATGGAAAGGAAGTGAGGACACGTCAGAGGAGGAAGATTTGGCCTGAACTCCAGGGAGGTTTCTCCATGTTGTACAGGTGGCTTTTATCTGTGTAAGGTGATGCTGCAGGACATGGACCCTTCAAGACTGGAAGACATCAGGTGAGGTGCAAAGAGGATCATGCACCTGAAGGAGAAGGTGCACTCCCGGGTGTCCATGACTTCCTGGAGGATTCCAGTGTGAGACACAAGACAAAGAGTCAATGAGAAAACTCGGGGACAGCGACAGTGAGACTAGGAACCTCCACTCGAGAAATGGGGGGAGGATATTACCACATCCGGGAAGCCCAGGGACGGGGAGAGGGTGTCCAGGAGGTTGAGTGCAGCAAAGGGGTGAAGGATTCTACTGCATGTGGCCTGCACTGGCTCGATGAGAACCTTCAGCAGAGATGACGGGTCAGCACCCAAATTCCCAAGCAGGAAAGAGTGGGCAAGCAGGTGAGTGACATAAGCAGGAATAGTAACAGCAGCACTTACCACTTAGGTACACGGAGGGTGTACACTGGGAGCACTGACTCGGGGCAACACATGCATTCCAACTCTTTTCTATTAATCATGAAAAAAGCCTTGCTAGTTCGTTTTCATCCTCATTTTACAGGTGAGGAAACAAAGAAATGAAAAACTGATTTGTATTTCTAAAATGGGAATGCGGAGGCATTGCCAGTGAGTAACCAGTAACAAAGGAAAGTTCCACTCCAAATTTGGGTTCTTACATGTTCCATTCTAACACTCAGACCCAGGTCTTTCGCAGTGTCTCACTGCCCCAGAGAAGATAAAACACAGACAGGGTCTGGGCTCTCAGGGCACTCAGGGCCACAACACTGGCTCTGGATTCAGGAAGCAGAGATAGCCCAGGGCATGGTGTTCCAGGCGGCCTGGGGCAGGTTCCTTTCCCTCTCCGAGTCTCCGCTTCTCCTGTAGAAACTGTAGAAGGGCACAGGTGCATGTTGAGATGCTCACTGCGTCCCTGTGCTCACCATTCTCTGTGTTGGGTGCTTTGATCTTGCTGACTCTAGAGAAATTGTCTGTCCCAGGGCCCAACCAATTCAGGGTCCACACCCCAGGCAGGCTCTCACACTCCAGGCTTCTGCTCCCCATGACCTTGATCACCCCTGAGCCAGCCACTAGACAAATAAGGACAAATTCTGTGTCAGGAGTCCCCTGAAATGGCTCACACTAGACAAGCTTAGCCTGCTTGCCCTCCTGTCTCTTCCAGGGGAAACCAGAGTGAGGTCTCTTGTCACCATCACCCACCTACTTACTACCCTAGTGCTTTCCCTTGAGTCTGGGCCATAATCTGAAATGACGAAATCCTAAAAGATCAAAAATCCCTAAAGCTGTAAAAATTCCCTTTTTTTCTATTGCAATAGGCTTCTGGTCAGTTGGCTTGACAGTAACTCCAATTTTCTGTTAGTACAAGCACACTGCATTTTACAACAACCCTGTTCTCTCTCCATCCCTTGTCCTCTCCTCTACATCAGGCACCATCCTAAGTGCTTTGGAAACCCCACCTCCAGCCTCTCCACCATCCACTGAGGAATGGACTACCAACATCCCTACTTCATAGACACAACAACTGAGGCACAGACAGCTGAATACCTTGCCTAAGGACACACAGAAAGAAGTGCTGAGGAAGATTCAAGCCCATGCCCCACACCCTCTGGCTCCAGAGGAGATAATTTTAATAGTCTGCTAAGTCATTCTGCATGATGCGGCCATATCAGGACTCATAACCAAAGAGAAAATAAGCTGTGCTCTCTTAATTCCTCATGTGTGAGGTTTGAGAAAGCTCATTGTCCTCCTGTGCATGGTCCAGGCTGTGACCCCTGAGTTTTGCTCCTCCCCTGCAACTCTGCTCAGAACCACCATGGCTGCCTGGGCTCACCTGCTTGAAGTCAAAGCCCAAGTCCAGAGGGTGCACACTGATACAGAACCAGACCTGTCAGGCCTTTGCCCTCTGTGCACCTCCATTCAGCTTCACCCAGGAAGAGGATTTCTAAGTGTGCATCCTCCCCCAAAATTTGTGGTTCAGGAGGACTCACCCCAAGCTGTGGAAGCAGCAAGAGAGGCCAGAACCAGAGCGCAGAGCCACATCATGGAAGGATTTCAGCTGCTGGAACCAGCAAGCTCTCCCTGCTTCTTATAGGAGTTCAGCCAGGCACCTAGAGCACAACCCTTGCCCCTGAGTCTCCACCCCCAGAGCCAGATGCCACACATTTGTCAAACCTCTTGATACTGAAGGGTTTCTCATTGTAGATCTCTGACTTGGGGCTCTGTGACCTTCCCAAAGTCAGGCAAAGGGCAGCTTTGATTTGGAGTCCTCAGAATAAGCTTGAACATTTTTTAGAGCCATTCACACAGTCCTGTAGCTGCTCAGCTGGGTGACTTAGAACACATCTCTTAACGTCCCTCAGATTGTAGTTCCTAGAATCTGGACTGTAAAGTTTGGAAGCCATGTTAAGTTTTAGCCAGTCCCCACATTAGTGTTATAATGTTCCTGCCCAGTGATCCAATCTCCTGACCCACACCTCTGGGACTGGATGGCTTTACAGTCAAAATCTATAAAGCACTTAAAGAAGGATTGACCACAATTCTTATCTATTGTTAAAAAATAAAAAGTAAACTAGCCAAACTCTTTTTATGAGGTCAATATTACCCTGAAACCATAACCAGACAATGACACAACAGAAAAAGAAAACTACAATATCACTGAATGCAAGTATCCTCAACAAAATACCAGCAAACTTAATTCAACAGCACATCAACAAGATCAAATACAGTGGTCAGATGAGATTTATCCTGGGAATGTAAGAATGGCTCAACATATACAAATGTAGTACAACCCATCAGTAGACTGAAGAATGAAGACCATATGATCATCTCAATATATACAGAAAAAATCTACAATGAAATCCAACATCCCTTCATGATAAAAGAAAAAAAAAATAACTCAGAGGGGTGGGCATTGGGGCACCAACAATGATTTAAATCCCACTTGTTATGCCCACATTCCACATCAGAGTGTGTGGTTCACATCATAGCTGCTATGATTCTGATTCAGCTTCCTGCAGCATGCAAATGATCACCCAAGAAGTTGGACCCCT